AAGAGGGGATAACCAGTGCCAGGCCACAGACAAATGCATTTTTCCCTCATTCTGTTTTTATCCTCTTCTAAATCCCTTCTGCCATCCCTTATCCAAAAAGAAAAAGAAAAGAAGAGAAAAGGAAAGGAAAGGGAAAGGGAAAGGAAAAGGAAAAGGAAAGGAAAGGAAAGGAAAGGGAGAAGAGAAGAGAAGAGAGAAAAGAGAAAAGGAAAGGAAAGAAAAAAGCCTTAGTGATGATTTTACTCCTGTTTCACAAAGAAGTTTGATGCCATCAGGTATGACCTATTTCATAATCTTTACATTTACAAACCATTCTTCCACATGAATCCTTCCATCTTGCCTTTCTTTTCTACTCCTAAGGCAACTCTGAGTCCGTCTACTACTTTTCTACTCCTGACTTTGTTCTTTGCTCTCATGATAGCTCCTCTTTCCCATTTTGTCAAAAAATATGGTCTGAAGGCTTCTTCCTTTAGCTTTTAACACAAGAATATTTCTCCTCTGCTTCCCCTAACTTCTTGGAGTCTGCTGCTCCCAATCACTGCCATCCTTCCTTCTTTCCCAACCAAAGCCTTGAAACACTTTTCTATACCTACTGCATCTCATTCTTCTCCTCTCATTTTCTTCTGAATCTCTGCAGTCTATCCTTCCCTCCACCCCAAAGTTAAATTCCTCAATCAAAGCTTATCAATGACTTCCTTCTGGGCAACTCCTTTTCCCTTTCTAAGATCAACCCAATCAATGACAGGGCTCATTTGAAATTGCTGGTTGATCAGCCTGTCTTCAAGTTTCTATGTCATGGTGTTGTCCATGTTCTTTTCCTGTCTCTCTGCCAGGTGTCTCTCTCCTTTGGCAGTGTTTCGTCCTCCTCCTAACTCAGGTTGTAGGTGTTCCTTGAGTTGCTGCCCTTGTGGTTATTTTCTCACTGAAGACAGTATTCTGAAAAAGAGGATGCTGCTGGTCCAGGGCAATACTTTGAGAACCACTGGCTTAGAACAGTGGTTCTTAAACTTAGCTGTATATCAGAATCACTAGGATAGCTTTTAAAACAATAATTGCTATTCAAAGGAAACCATAAACAAAATGAAAAGAAAACCTATAGAATGGGACAAAATATTTGCAAGCCATGCAACCGACAAGGGATTAATTTCCAAAATATACAAGCAGCTCACACAGCTCAACATCAAGAAAACAAAAAACCCAATCAAAAAATGGGTGGAAGATCTAAATAGACATTTCTCCAAAGATGACACTCAAACATCACTAGTCATCAGAGAAATGCAAATCAAAACTGAAATGAGGTATCACCTCACACCAGTCAGAATGGCCATCAT